GGAGTGGCGTCACAAATCCGTTGTGGACAATGTAATCAATTAGGTCATAGTAGGTCTCGTTGTCCATTAAGAGCAAGTAGATAGCAATTAATTGGTAAGTAAATATTTTCTATTGATATGTTATCGTTATATGTTATTGATTTAGAAAGTAGATACATTATCTATATGTTATTGATATGGCAGAAACTAATAAGTTATCATTATATGTGTAGGTATATACATGATGCTTCCCGGGCCGGTTACTAATGAAGTCCTCTATGATCAGTCACGCTACCGTTCAGAGAGCATATCGTTTACATCGGTAATGATGACTTATTTACAGTCACATATTACTTATTCATTCTTATATTCTAATATTTGTTTTCATATGTGCAGAGAGGACAAGATCTGATTATGATTGATCATAGCCTTGGACATATGCGCTGGCCACTTGATGATCCTCACATCATTACCCTAGTATCCCAAGCTGGTTTTCTCACTTGCTCAAAATTGAAATGGATGGAGCTCGACTGGGTACTGCTTAACACGTTGATGGATAGATGTAGGCCAGAGACTAACACTTTCCATCTATGTGTCGGCGAGGCAACTATTACTCTTCAGGATGTAGCTGTGATCTTAGGTCTTCGCATTGATGGCACTTGTGTCACGGGGACTGAGAGGCATGTTTGGAGGGACACATGTAATAATTTGTTAGGAATATCTCTAGAGTCCTTGCCTGGAGGGTATATTAGATTGAAGTGGCTAAAGGAGAATTTTGCAAACCCGTTGCCATAAGATGCACCTGAAGTGATGATCCAACAGCATGCCAGAGCATATATTTTGTACATGATCAGGACGCTTCTTTTTCCAGATTCAAGTAAACATAAAGTCCATTTGAGGTAAGTACACTCCATAAATTTTTATAATGCATTTGAATGTGATTTTTATGCCAATTCAAGTATTGATTTTTGCTCACTATTTTTAGCAAATATGACTAACGCATTTGAACTCGCGCTAGGTGGTTACCACTTCTCGAAGACTTTGACGTGTGCGGGACATTATCCTAGGGTAGTGCTGTTTTAGTATACCTATATCGAGAAATATCAAAGGTTGCTTTAATGCAAAATAAAGATCTCAAGGGCTGTTTAACATTGCTACAAGTTTGGGCATGGAAGATGTTGGTTTTGAAACCACGATTATGCGAGATCCAAGAGTTAGATGGACATATTCCACTAGGCTGCAGGTAAAAATCGTCAAATTGAATCTCATTTTTATTTAATTTTAAATTTAACATTTTGAACAAAAACCTATCTTGCAGATGGAATGTTACAAAAGTTTATGATGAGACCTCGGCTAGGTAACTAGATTTTTACAGAGGGGAGCTCGACCAGATAAATTTTTTCCAGGTATCGAACTTGAATTGAAGGCGTTTAAAGCTATTGATATATTTCAAAGAGTTATTTCTATATTGATAATTTTATAGTTCGAGTGGCAGCCATACACCCCTCACCTACCTCGTCTACCGCTAATTTGTATGGAGGGACACGGCATATGGAGGGCCAGAGTTCCTCTCGTTTGTTTTAAGATTATGGAGATGCGCGTACCTGATCGCGTGTTTAAACAGTTTGGACTCATGCAACACGCTCCACAATCTGTTGAACAAATAGAGAGAAAGGCGTCTAAAGGTGGACATCAAATTGACTGGCGGTGCGCACATCAATCATACATTGTTAGGTGGAATGATCGACATTAACTTATTGTCGATCAGCTTTATCCTCTGATGGAGGAAGTTGATTACATTAAATGGTATTGGGGGATTACCAGACGTTGGATAATCACTCAAACTGCACCTCCAGTCGACGAAATCGAGATTCGCTCCTACAATCCCGATATGTACCAAGAGGGGTAGATGAGAGACGATGGGTAAGTAAATTGCAAAAATTATAATAGAATGTTCAATCTCTTGTTAGCTTTTGATTTCTTATATCAATGTTTTTATGTAATTGTAGATAGATGCTATGGATAGTGGCGAGTGGGATTGTAAATGAGGGCATAGCTACCGCCACAGGAGATTCAGTACACGTATCGATATTGCATCGGATAGTGGGGAGAGTTCATAGAGCTTTTCAACAAACTCATGAGGATCGGCATGAAGATCGTGAGCAGGTGGATCTTGAAGATACTCTATATGCACGCCGACGTAGACGTGGTAGACATTGCACACACGATGATGAAGCTGGTCCATCACAGCAACCTGGTTCGTCACAGCCCAACACACAACCGGAGAGCGAGCATATACAAGCTCAAGTCGAAGGAGGACGCTGACGATCTCAACGAGTGCGAAGAGAGAGGCAACGGGGGAGGGGTGGATTTTTTATTTGTTAGTTTTTCCACTAAGATATATATTGTCGTATGGTTTATTGACATTTGATTTATTTAGCTTAAACTAAATATTATCGTATGGGTAGACTTGATACATTTGGATTTGTTTAGCTTAGACTAATATATATTATCGTATGGATTTGTGATGTGTATTTTTGTCGGATTTTGGATGTGATGTGTATTTCGTCAGCTTTTGGATGTGATGTGTATTTCGTCGGATTTGTGTTGTGATGTTATTGATTACGTAGGGTTTGTATGGTGATGTTGTGTATTTTTGATATTTGTGTTGTGATGTTGTAATTTTATAACTTTTATCAAAGTATACAATATAAATGATAATTTTTTGGCGAAACTTTTGGCCGTATATCGATAAATAAGGCATGTGCATGTTTTGGCTCCGCCCAGCAAATCCACGGGACTACTAGTCCCATGGATTTGCTGGGCACAGGTGAATATGTCTCTACAAAATGTACGAGACTACTAGTCCCGTACGTTTTAGTAATGAACTCAGAAAATATATGGGACTAATAGTCCCGTACGTTTTCTGAGTCCACTAAGTGCTGATTAAGTTGGCTCTAAACATATGAGACTACTAGTCCCGTATGTTTTCCAAACATTATTTTTCAAAATCGACCTCTTTTTAGCCTATTGGCCAAAAAAGGTCTATTTTGCTAAATATTTAGCAAAAGTGAGCTATTTAAAAAAATTCCCCATGAAATATATGTTGGGAAATTTTGGTCTCCCCGCGTACTACGATCTTCACAACTTAGAAGCCAACCCACAATCAGCAAGATATAAAATAACCATAATCAAGAAGAAAAAACACCGAGATTTACGTGGTTCAGTCGACCAACTTCGACCTACGTTCACGAGTAATAATACGAGAAGTTTACTATGTATCAGGGAGAACTACAAGAGGAATCACTCAACTCTCATCTCTTAATTTTTCAACCTCACATACATAATCAACTCTTATATTCTCTCCAAAGCCCTCTCCTTATAATCTTTTGAACGGACAAAGACTGTGAAACCCTCTCCCAATGATGTAATCTTTTGCATGGATAAAGACTACGAAACCCTCGCCTCTAGTACAATATTCTTGAATCAGGCTACGCCCTCTGCTAACCCTAGATTATAAGAATATTAGCTCTCTCTCCTCTACTTCTTGGTTTTTCCTCCAACAATAAAAGAATATATACAGGAAAACCAAAAAAGCCTATCTCTAGCCTAACTTTCTAATTAGAATAGGATTCAAATTCCTAATCATGATGAGACCTAATCTCCTAATCATGATAGATCTCTACCCCTATCTAATTCTGATAAAGTTATACAAAGAATCAAAGACACAATCCCAACAATCTCTACCTTGGATTTGATTCTCAAACTCCCTTGAAGATATATTATCGCCGTCTTGAAACTTTGCCTCTCCCGTTAGAGTCTTCTATTTCTTTCGCACTTCAAATCAAAGCACCTACACTCCAACTGGGACGTTCAGTGACCCTCGCTATCATTTTCTTAGCTGTGGCGCCTCCACCTCTCTTGTGCACACCAAGAGATCTTCACCTCCTCTGACATTAGAAGCAAATCAACCATGCTTCTCCTCTCAATCTGAAACTTGACGGTAGCCTTCCCCCACTTGTTGTCCTCGTGCTCCACTTGCATTGCTCATCTCGAATCATATCGGTGCACCTCTCCTACGCCACACTACGAGCCAGATGTCTCTATCTCCTCCATCACTTAGCTTGGACCGAATATGAACGCTCATCGTCTTTAAGTCCAACGCCACCATCTCCATCAGCATATGTGTCACTCAGTCGTGCCTTATCGAGTGTACACACCAACCAACTTCTGCTTCTACGATGACTCTGAATAATTATATGCTAACAACTCTACTGCTAGAATCACATCTGATTCTCTACATCAGTCTCATCTATCGCATACTTGTTTGTCCTATCTGCCATCAGATATGTCTCGCCATCACTGTCATAATTTTTCTACACTTTCTATCTAATCTAAGCATAATTTAAAAAATCAGACCCTTCCATCACGTTCAGAGCACTCCAAAACCTACAAATTAACTCCTGGATCACCAAAATCTGTCTCCAAACCCTCGATCAGAAGACAAATTAATCTTTATTTTTTACTTTTACTTTTTCTTTTTCTTTTTCTTCATCTTGATTCTTGTAACACCGTCGATCTTCACTTTTGTATGACGTCTATCTTGCGAACTCGCTCCCGGATCCATCACCATTGCTCTGATACCTCTTGATGGGAAATTTTAGTCTCCCCGCATATTGCGATCTTCATAACTTGGAAGCCAACCCATAATCAATAAGATATAAAATAATCACAATCAAGAAGAAAGAACACCGAGATTTACGTGGTTCAGTCGACCAACTTCGACCTATGTCCACAGGCAACAATACAAGAAATTCCATAACTGGCAGCAAAATAGGAAGCTATCCTATGCGGGGAGAATCCAGCTGATTAAAACTGTTATTTTTAGGATTCAATCTTTTTGGGTTAGCAATTATATATTGCCGATAAAAGTTCTTGAAAGAATTGATAAGCTTTGCTCCTCTTTCCTTTGGGGTCAAAAAATCCATCTGATCTCCTGGAGTACAGTTTGTTTAGGGAGGATGCAAGGTGGCTTAGGCCTTTTTTCGGCAAAGGAGTGGAATAATGCAGCAGCAATTAAACTTCTTTGGATGATACATCAGAAAAAAGACCTGTTATGGGTCAAATGGGTGCACGGTCATTACTTACAGCACTCAAATATTTGGCAAGTTCAACATAGGGGCAATGATTCTTGGATGTGGAAGCAACTTCTCAAAGTTAGAAATATGTTGTTAGCTAAGTTTGGTAATGCTGAAGTATTGATGAGTTCACTGGATGCTTGTTGTGTCAATGGAAAAATCAATATGACAGCAATCTACAATGTCCTGTATCAATCAAATATCTCAGCAGTATGGGCAGAAACTACATGGGGGAGATTGAACTACCCTAAACATTCTTTCATCCTCTGGTTAGTTAATCACTCAAGGCTCCTTACCCAGGAGAGACTGTGTAGACTGAGATTATTAGATGCAAATCTATGTGTTCTGTGCTCCAGTCAGCCTGAAAATTGCAAGCATCTCTTCTTCGAATGCCAATACTCAGCTGCTGTCTGGATCATGATGATGGACTGGTTGAGATTCACTTGGAGAACTTGTAACTGGTACTTGCTCATCCAATGGTACTCTCATAACTTGAGAGGTAAGAACTTTAAGAAGAACCTGAAGAGAATGGCTCTTGCTGCTGCTGTCTATTAATCTATTTGGCAAGAGAGGAACAATAGAATTTTTCAAGGGAAAGCTAGGGAGCCTGCTGATCTCTTTCGAGCAATCAAGTACTCCATATATTCCAAAATACTAAATGAGGATATACATGTACATATGAAGGATGAACTTGTGAAGTTGTAGTGTTTTTTCTTTGGTTACCAGGTCAAGTTTCTGGCTGCCTGGTCTTTTGATGTACAAACATTTCTATATTTGATTGATGAATAAAGCTTTATTTCATTGATAAAAAAAAACAATACAAGAAATTCACTATGTATCAGGGAGAACTACAAGAGGAACCACTCAACTCCCGTCTCTTAATTTCTCATCCTCACATACATAATCAACTATCATATTCTCTCCGAAGCACTCTCCTTACAACTTTTTGAACGGACAAAGACTATGAAACCCTCTCCTAATGATGTAATCTTTTGCACGGATAAAGACTACGAAACTCTCGCCTCTCGTATAATATTGTTGAATCAGGTTACACCATCTACTAACCCTAGATTACAGGAATATTAGTTCTCTCTCCTCTGTTTCTTGTTTTTTCCTCCAACAATAGAAGAATATATATATGGAAACCAAAAACCCTATCTCTAGCCTAACTTCCTAATTAGAATATGATTCAAATTCCTAATCATGATGAGACCCAATCTCCTAATCATGATAGATCTCTAACCCTATCTAATTCTCATGAAGTTATACAAAGAATCAAAGACACAATCCCAACAATATATAGGGGGGAAAACTCATATATGTGCACCGTCGTAATCATAATACCAACACTACAAGCATGCATGAAAGCATACCTACCTTACTAACATGAAAATAGTTGGTATTTATGTGTACGTTCATGTCTTCATAGTTCTACTCAAAATTCCTACACTGGTAACATGCATCAATTAAAGCAAACCTACACTACTAGCATAACTTTAGATGCTTTTTTTTACTTATGTGCATGTTCATGTCTTCATAGCTCTACTGATCAAACTCGTAGCATGCATTCTCTATGCAGCCTTGTCTCAACATTTACACTAATGAGAGAATACAACAACTAGATGGTGAGCCTTAGCGGAACGGCAAAGTTGCTGCTATGTTGAGTCGGGGTTATAGGTTCAAATCTCGGAAACAAACTCCACAAAGCAAGGATAAGGCTGCGTAGTATACAACAAATGCTACGATATCAATTTATTATATTAATAATGAATCAAAGAGATATCTATCCTTAGATTAGTAGATTCGAAGATGACATACTGAACTAAGATTGACTTTTGATGCATCATTGATGTAATAGATAAAAACTATGCGTGGAAGGGAAAATAGAGTATTCCTCTTGATTAACGTGGGAAATTACTTTTTAAGGATTTGAGTGGGGGAGAAGTGGGCCCAGGTGCTGTGAAATGGGGAAGCAAGGAGACAAGTAAGCTCAGCTTTAGCTGCACGCATGCCAACTTAACTCCAAGCAAGCAACTCAAAGAGAGGCCCTAGTTGGGGGAGGACCCTAACACTCGCCCTGAATTTTGATGTCTCTTCCTCAAGTGGGGCTTTTCATGCTCTCTCTCCCTCTTGCTTCAAGAGCTCAATCTGTGAGCTAATTGAGGGACCAAAACACCAGAAAGAGCAATTAATATTGGGGACCATTTCCAGTGGGCACAAGACAAATGGGGTGGAGCTCAAATCACTGGATTTGTAAGATTTGCTGATGCGATTAAAATAAAAGCAGCTAGCTAGAAGCAAATAATCTATGTTAATTAGTAAAAAATTAATGATTAGTTAATTACACAACAAATAATGTGCCATGATAATATATTATCCAAATTAATAATTAGAACTCATTTGCGGGCCTTAGGGCCCCGTTTGGGTACAAAAATCGGAAGGGGAAAGCCTGTAAAAGTTCTGAAAAAATCAGAACTTTTGCAGGCTTTCCCCCGTTTTCCCCTCTAATTTTTGCAAACAAACGGGCCCTTAGATTGTGACCATCTAACATACAAAGATATTAATGCATTAATGCAGTAGCTAGACTAGGTTAGCAGTAATTAGAACCTAGTTATTATAAGTACATGTAACATATGTACAGAGTAATTGCTTCTTTATCTTTACAGGCAACAAAAAGGAACTGAGAACATAGGAACTTTCCACATGGGTTAATTAGTTCCCACTTGTAGTCTAAAGTGAGGGCTCTTAAGGAATTTCTGACTCTTTGTTAACTGCGTTTTACATACAATATTATAGAAGAAAAAGGACGATCATAGCTAGGTGCATGCACAAAGAAATAGGGAAAATTTACCTTAACCCCTATGCTTGACTTTGATTTTCATTACGTACACCTCTTTAACCACCCAAAAAAAGAAAAAAGAAAAAAGAAAAAAGAAATTTATAGCTTTTAATATATCTTTCTAGTACTGTTATCTAATGCGTTATGCTCTATTTTCATTCTTGTTCAAAGGTTAAACTATTTTAAAGAATATGCATATATATTGTTTTTACATGAAAAATATATAATCACCATAGTACGTCATCATCTAAACATTAGAAATCAAATTAAATGGGTCAGTTCGAAATGAAAATTAATTAGAAAGTCTCATAGAACTACTTGGTGTTAGTTAGTTAATTAACTCCATTTTTGGATGAGTTTTTGATTTGTTGAAAATCAAAGTCTACAAAAGTAGTCGTTGTAACCTATATATATTTTACCTTCCTAATTAATTAAAATAAACAATAATAATTACTTAGTTTGCCATGCATGAAGATATCGTCTATAAGTGAGAGCTACATCTATAGCCCTTGGAAATAATCATTCCCCCTATATCAATACCCACCACTAAAACAAACATATAATAATAAAAGACATAGTCTTTTTCGAAAAATCCCATCACACCAATCTCCAGGCCTTCATACCTCTTATAACCAAATCTATCTGCTTTCTCCTCTCCTCTCATCACCAAACCCTAACCCTAGAATTTAGAGAAACAATGGCAAATGAGGATGTGGCCACCATCATCAAGAAGACCATGTTAGTGCACCCAGCTAAACCTCACCCAATCACAGCACTGCAGCTCTCAAATCTAGACAGAAAGTGCCCTGAGCTCATGTACTTGGTGTTCTTTTACGCTAAACCCCTCAAGAACTCGTCTAGTAATTTCCTCACAGAGTTGAGGGAGGGTCTAGAGGAGACTCTATCAGATTGGTACCCAGCTGCAGGTAGGCTGATGTTGGATGGTGAAGGGAAGTTGAACCTTGATTGTAATAATTTTGGTGCGCTTTGGGTTGAGGCCGAAGCTGCGGAAGTGAGAATTTCAGAGCTTGGTGAGCTGTCAATGGCTGATAAGTTCTTGAAGAAGTTGGTGTTCAGGCCAAAGGTGTCCAGTGATGGGTTATTTGAGCTCCCTCTTGTTGTTGTGCAGGTTGCATATATTCAGTTTAATTTAAATATAGTACTATGTGCACAGATACACAAGTAATTCTGGCTTTCTATATAGATAGCTATATATAATTAATTTGTATATATATATAGAATTCTCATGCATGAACTTTTTGATATTGGAAAAATAGCAGGTATTATTGCAATTTGTTTTCATATAACAAGTATGTATTGCTGCCAAATTAATGAATTGTGACCTTTGAAGAAAGGATTTCTATAGAAAATCTTGTGAACTGCTAGAAAATTAGATATATATGATTATTTTTCAAGACATTAATGTACTCAATTGTTCACTAGACCCAACTGTATATGTGAATTTTTGCCAAGATTAATTAATAAAAGGCAAAGGAAAACAAAACTTTGGAATGACCTAGTAAAGATCAACTCAAAATTCTACTGAAAAGCAATAATATGAAGAACATGATAAGAAATTCCTTTTTCTTGAAAGCTAATATTTTTCTAATTATCTTACTGCGCGCTGTGTTAAAATGCGGCTATAACATTCTTAATTTCGAAATGATGGTGACGATGATATTGATCATGCATGCTATATTTATCTAGGTGACCGAGTTCGGTTGTGGAGGATATGCCGTAGGAATTGGAACAAACCATGCACTCTTTGATGGATCGGCAAATTTCAACTTCATCAATGCATGGGCTTCAAAAGTATCACGTAGGCGAGACGAGCAATATCACGCGGAGATATTTGAACCGATACACGAGAGAGGGAGACTCTTGATTGATCATTGTCATTCTCATGAAATAGCCCACGATACGAATAATGGGATATTGGCCTTTGATCACCTATATCAGCTCATCAAACAAGCCGTCTCTTTGGAAGATATCGGAAGGAAACAGCTTGACGAAGCGTACAAGATTTCGGAGGAGGGAGATGAGGAAGAAGTTGTTCTCAGGACATTCACTGTGAGCAAGGATATGATAGAAGAGCTAAAGAGCAAGGTCGATGGGGGTTCGTGCACTTCCTTCGAAGTTTTAGCAGCTCACTTGTGGAAGGTATAACAAACAACTCTAAACCCCTCTCCAGTAGTGTTTTTATGTTGAGAAATCTATATAATTTGCTGAGAAGTACTACTACTGTTGGCAGTTGTCTATCCTTGAATCAGTACGAACCCCACGGGTTCGGAAATTAATGCACTGGTTTAAGACTTTCGATCTCCTTAATATGCTAACTACTCAATAGACAAGAATCTCTACATGATCTGGATGAAATGCACGAGGAGGAGACAACAAAGCATTGAGCACATGAGGGCCTTTACCGAAGGAATTAGTATACGAGACATGTCCTCAGAAAGTGCATGCAATTTTTCCTTTTTCGCTTGTTTGCCAGCAATTCAGTTCTCTCTTGAGCGCCACAGAATCTAGTATGCACCACTTTGTTCAGACACATCATGTGGTCATTACTACCAGGTTTTCGATTATTCGTGTTAAAGTAAGAGAGAGAGAGAGAATCTTGGGTAAATTTCCCTTGAATTGAATATTGAGTGTGCACATATATTTATACAAGTAGAGGAGTGTGAGGTTTGTTCTCCCAAGCAATGTGGGACTAAAACCCACTACAATACACTATTATCAACAGCCCCCTTCAAACTCATGTTGGATCAAACAAAGTGAGTTTGCGTACAAGAAACTGGAACCGATGAACAGGTAAGGCCTTTGTGAAGAAATCTGCAAGCTCGTCAGCGGATGAAACATGAGGAAGTAGAATTGTCTTGTCCTTGATAACTTGGTGACGGACAAAATGAGCGTCGATCTCAATATGTTTGGTCCTTTCATGAAATACTGGATTATTAGCAATCTGGATGGCACTCTTATTATCACAGTAGAGAGGAGTAGGAGTCGTAACAGAAATACCGAAATCACTGAGAAGGCGACGAAGATGAATAATCTCTTTAGCTGTTGTGGACATTGCACGATACTCTGCCTCAGTACTGGAAAGAGCAATAACATCTTGTTTCTTACTTCGCCAGGAAATAAGGGAATCACCAAGAAATATACAATAACCTGTGGTAGACTTTCTGGTAGTTGGATCACCAGCCCAATCAGCATCAGAATATGCACAAAGCTCTAACTTAGATGTAGCAGGAAACAAAAGTGAGCGAGTGCTAGTACCCCGGAGGTACCGAAGAATCCGTAATAAGACAGCATAGTGTACAGAACGTGGGGCACTAACAAATTGACTGACAATACCAACAGCATGAGAGATATCTGGTCGAGAGATGCACAAATAGACCAACTGACCAACAAGATGTCGATATCGGGTAGGATCAGATAGAGGCTCACCGTCAGTAGAGCAAAGTTTGACATTCTGCTGGAGTGGAGTATCGACAGTTGTATTATCAGTTAACTCAGCTTGATTTAGAATATCTGAGAGATACTTCTGTTGAGACAGTAATACACCCCGCGGGCCTTGAGAAATTTCTAGACCAAGGAAATACCGAAGAGATCCAAGATCCTTCATGTGGAACTGTTGTTGCAACTGAGATTTTGCGTATTGTATACCTGTCATATCATCACCTGTAATGATCATATCATCTACATAGATGAGTAATAAAACCCTGCCACGCGATGTAGTGCGAACAAACAGAGAAGCATCTTGATGACTTTCTATAAAGCCCGCTTTGAGCACAACATCGCGAAAACACTCAAACCAAGCGCGGGGTGCCTGTTTGAGACCATAAACAGCACGACGAAGGAGACATACATGTCCCGGAGGAATATTTGACCCTGGAGGCGGTTGCATATATACGGTCTCTGATAAAGAGCCATGAAGAAAAGCATTTTTGACATCCATCTGGTATAAGGGCCAACGATGAGCAGCAGCGACCGCAAGGAGAGTACGCACAGTGGGCATCTGAGCAACAGGAGCAAAGGTCTCCTCATAATCAATACCTTGTTGCTGAGTAAAACCTCTAGCCACTAAACGAGCTTTTCGACGTTCAATGGTGCCATCAGGACGAAACTTGACCTTATAAACCCATTTACTGCCAACAAGAGAGATCCCAGGAGGACAGGGAACAATATCCCAGGTATGAGTTTGCTGAAATGCTTGAAATTCCTCAGCCATAGCTTGTCGCCACTCTGGAATTTGAACTGCCTCTTGGAAGGACTTTGGCTCAACAATAGTATGAATGGCAGCAAGAAAGTTATGAAAGATAGGTGAATAAGAAGTAACAGAAGCATACCGGGCAGGCATGACATGTGGGCGTTTGCCTCGACGAAGAGCAAGAGGAACCTCAGGCGGGGGAGATGCTGGCGCAGGTGCATGAAGATCAACAGTATTTTCTGGAGTGAGAGTTGTGTCCACAGGATATGGATTAGATGGTGTAAGAGAAGACTCAGGTGAGGAAGAGTCAACAGAAGGAGAGGGAGAGATGTCAGGGAGATCTCGAAAGGAAAATTGAGGTGAAGAAGTGGGTGATGCAGTGGACGGGGAAGCATGATCGGTAGAGTGGAGGAAATTAAAGTCATCAGAAGTAGAATAATATGGAGAATCCTCTTCGAACTGAACATGACGAGATATATGAACTCGACGAGTTGCGGGATCATAACAACGATAACCTCGATGTTCTGAACTAATTCCTAAATAAACACAAGAAACTGCTCTGGGAGACAATTTATCACGTTCGTGAGATGGCAGAAAAACAAAACATCGACAACCAAAAACGCGAACTAGATCATAACGGGGAGGATGAGTATAAACACGACTATAAGGAGTAGCACCGGAAAGAGAGCTAGATGGAGTGATATTAATGGCATGAGTCGCGGTGAGAATAGCCTCAGCCCAGAAACGACGAGGAACAGAGTAAGAAATGAGCATTGATCGGGCAGTATCGAGGATATGACGATGTTTGCGTTCAGCAACACCATTTTGCTCATGAGTGTAGGGACATGACTGTTGAAAGATAGTCCCATGAGAGGACATGATAGAGCGCATGGCAGAGGATAGGTACTCTTTGGCACAATCAGAACGAAAAACTTTAATACGAGATTGCCATTGAGTGAAAATCATAGCAGTGAAGGCTTGATAAGCAGTAAGTACGTCAGAGCGATTCTTAAGTAGGTAAACCCATGTAAAACGAGAGAAATCGTCGATAAAACTAACATAATATAAGTAGCCAGATGAAGAAGGCAAAGGAGCTGGCCCCCAAATATCAGAATGTACTAAATCAAATAAGGAAGTGGATACAGATGTACTCATTTTAAATGGTAAAGCAGTGAATTTAGCCAATTTGCAACCAGCACATGACTCAATACTAGAACTAGATGATACAGGACCAAGTACTCCAGACTGAATAAGACTCTCCAGCCTTTTATTACACACATGACCAAGTCGTCTATGCCATAAATTGGCAGGAAGCGAGGTAGAGGGTTTTGACGAACAAAGAGAAGCAACAAGAGAACGTGGACGTATGGACTCTGGAAGGTGAAGATATTCCAGAAAATACAGTTTGTGCCTCCTACGACCCGCCCCAACCGTCTTGCCCGTCTGTGGATCCTGCACAATACAAGTATCAGAAGAAAATGAGACAAACAGGCCCGCCATGCATAAAGAGCTAATAGAAATTAAATTCAAGCACAATTGTGGAGCCACATAGACGGGACCAAGTGTTAGACGACCAGATGGATCATTTTGTGGGGTAATAGAGCCATACTGAGTAATGGACAATGGTTGTCCAGCAGCTGTGTAGATAGGAGGAAGAGAGGATGAAGTAAAGACAGAGGATAAAAGTGAGGCATTACAAGTCATATGAAAGGAACAACCAGAGTCAAAAATCCAGAGATCATTCATACCAGAGACTGAAGGATTAGCTGAAGAACCAGCAAAATGCATACCAGAGAGTTGTGCGGCGGATGTAGAGGTGATATGTTGAAAAGCATCAAGTTGACGGCGAAGACTTTCAATAGCTTGAATAGTAGAGTCTGAAGTAGTAGAAGGTATAGCATTGGCCAACAATCCTGGTGTACGAGAGGGTTGAGACTGAGGGGGTCGCCGACCACGTCCAGTACCTGAGGAACGTAACTCAGGATGAAGCTTGAAGCATGTCTCAATGCGGTGTCCTTCCTTCTTACAATATTTGCAAGAGAGCTTAGATCGAGCCTGTGGAGAGGGAGCCTGTGGAGAAGTATAATTCATAACAGGAGCAGTGACAGGTACAGACAAAACAGTCTCGAGTGAAGAGGTAGGAGTGTCTGTTGACAAATTGAGTCGTGCTGTCTGCTGCCGGGTCTCATAAGCAGTGAGAGCTCCCATAACTGAGGCCAAAGTCGGAAATTGAGGCTGGTGAAGTAGTTGATCAGCCATAGTTGAATATTCAGGAAGGGACTGAAACAATTGATGCACCTCATGCCGTTCGTACCAGGCTAGCCAGTCTTCATATGTGGAATTACGTCCAGGAAGCATGGAGCGTAACTCTGTCCAAAAAGCTTGCATTTGTCCAAAATGGGACTGCAGAGATGAACTACCTTTGCGTTGTAGAGAAATGCGTTGCAGAAGATATGCCTCCCGTGCACCCGAGCACTCAGTGAAACGCTCAGTGAGACGAGTCCACATGGCCTGAGCAGAGGGAAGCGAGCCAATCTCGACAGTGAGACCAGAGCCAACACAGCGAGTGAGATAATCCATAACACGAAATTCCTGCAATTGCCACTCTGAACTCTCCTTGACATAGAGAGCACGAGCAGTCTGAAGATCGACATCACCACTGCCAGAGGCAATAGTACTGGATGAAGCAACAGTGCTGATGGACGGTGGAACTGGTCCCGTACTGGTGAGATGATCAAGCAAACCAGCGCCACGCAAGGCATTGGTGACAATGGTGGACCACCCTGCCCAGTCACTTTGATCATTGAGGGGCAAAGGTGGTTTGGGAATCTTCTCTGAAGGAGCCATAACAGCAATCTTGAGACGTTAAGATGTCGAGATGCTGTTACTAATGTCGTTCGTTTGAGGCCGAGAGACGGCTTGAAACGACGATGCCGTTAATTTGAGACCGAGAGACGGTCTTGAAACGACAATGCCGTTAAAATAGCCGAGAGACGGTCTTGAAACGACAATGCCGTTAAAATAGAACCCGAAGGTTAGAATGAAACCCGAAGGTTTAAAATAGAACCCGAAGGTTAGAATGAAACCCGAAGGTTTAAAATAGAACCCGAAGGTTAAACGAGAACGCGAAACGCGTTAAGAGGCCGCAAAACGACAAGGCCAAAATATCTGGCAGATGAACGCCAAATAATTAAAAATAAAAATAAAAAAATAAAACATTAAACGGCTGCAAAGCAATAAGGCCAAGATTTGGCAAAAGAACGCAAAAGCGTTAAAAATTTTATTGAAAGGGAAATAGCCCTAGCTCTGATACCATGTTAAAGTAAGAGAGAGAGAGAGAATCTTGGGTAAATTTCCCTTGAATTGAATATTGAGTGTGCACATATATTTATACAAGTAGAGGAGTGTGAGGTTTGTTCTCCCAAGCAATGTGGGACTAAAACCCACTACAATACACTATTATCAACAATTCGGACTGGCGTATAATGGTGTCCAGATCCCTCTGGGGGTCGACGCACGTACACACACATATATATAATGAAATAGCTAATGATAATTTTCTCTGATTATCGAATCGTTTTATATATTACTCGAAATTTATTACAATAATGAAAATTGAAATTAGTTGCTCATGACTGCTCAAACATAAAAATGTAGCCAAAATATGTACAATACACTTACTAAGTTTACGATCTGACTGAGATTTTCAAGTGATCAACATTATGAAAACATGTTAAATAAACTGAAGATCAGAAACCAAGGAAATTAATGATATTTTAGGATAAATTTCACAACACATGAGGCTAGCATGTAATCATGATCATTTGCTTTGTTTTACAAATGTGTACTCAAATACCATTGGTAGAAAACAAATTAACCAAGTCATTAATACATATGCACACAACTCGGCACTCCAAACATCTGCTTAACATTTGTCCGCTCTCTTCTGCAGGCAAGAACCAGAGCAACACAAATACCAAAAGAGAGAACAGTGTGCCTCCAATTCTCAATTGACATAAGACCCAAGCTCTCTCCCCCCTTACCCAGATCCTTCACAGGCAATGCATACGTCCTCTCCTCAATCTCAACCTCGTCAGAATCCCTCCTTCAAGACCCCCTCTCCTCCGTTGTCCACGAAATCCGACAAGCCAAAAACACGGTAGACGACAACTACATACGAGCTTATCTCGTAGCGCTTGAGGCTCCACGGTATTGCGACATCCTCCCTCCTCTGCCTGAGCTTTTAATCGTATCAGATTGGAGACACACTCCTTTTCATGAGGTTGATTTTGGGACGGGAGAGGCGATTTGCGCCGTTCCGTTGGCTGCACCGGTCCCGGAGGTGGCTTACTTTATGAAGAGCTCAAGAGAGGAAGGAGGGGTTGATGTTAGGATCGGTTTGATGAGGAAGCACTTGGTTGGTTTCTGTCATTGTTTCTTGCAGACGATGTAAGTTTTCTGTGCTGTGAGGTTTGCTATGAGGGTAAATTTCACAAACCCACCTGAACTTTGTGGGGTTTTCGACAAAACCCCTGAAATTATAAATCATAAATTAAAACTTATAATCAATTATGAATACAAAAGGCCAAGAAGCATACGGGGGTTAATTATGAGCAAGTAAAGGCAAATCAAGTCCAGAAATAAGTAAAAAGTTAGCACAGCATTCCCTAGCCTTTATACCTCTCTCTGCAATATATTGTTTCTCAAAACAATTGTTCCTCCATTTATCAGAGACTTGCTCCACTAAAATAGAGAGTATGTACCCTTGAGTGCCTCAGTAATTAATCCATCAAACTTCTAATCAATTCTTTCTCCAACAGTTTTTGACTTTTTATTTCACCTATATATTAATGCCTTTCATGAAAATCTACAATAATTCGAGGGTTGAATGCAAGTCTGAAAATTCAGAGGGTCTTGTGAAATTTACCCGTGAAGTAGCTTATAGAGGACAGTGCAAGAGTTGTGCATCCTAAAGGATGTTATATTTGTTTGGATTGTTCTATTTCTTTATTACCTTCATAAATCAATTATATTATAATTGTTGTTATTTTCGCATTTTTTTTCCATCAAAGGCTAAATTTTGTTGCTGTCACTACTTATTTTGGGTGTGCTCTAGACTTCTAGTGATGGGTATCTGAGTTTCTACGTACGCTTATATGTTGTTCATTGTTGTGATTGAATATACTGGTTTCTGATAGTAGGAGATGAAAGACATAAGAGAAGTGAATAAAGTTCTTGGAAATGGCATAGATAAAGTTGCTAACATAGTTGTAAGAATCATTAGTTATAAGTGATAAGAATAGAGCTTTTGTAAAGAAAAGAGACAATATTATTCAATGTATTGAAGTGCATAAATATAATAGCAAGGAGAGAAGTTATAGAATCATATGGAATGTGGGCTTACAATGAAAAAAAAAATTTAAGATAGCCTAACTATATTATTTAACACCCCTCCCTCTCTTCCATTTTCCGGTCAAACTGACGGTGAGTAGAGAACCAAGAGTATTTGGATGAGACGAACTTAATTTTTGTAGATAGTTGTTGGCGTGGCTCGGCGAGAGGTGGTTGAATTAGATCTTAGTGTTGTCTGATGAGGGCTTAGACTGAGGCGGTGAGGTCGTGGCGTAGTTTGGTCTGGTGGTGTTGCCGTTGTAGGCATTGCAGGTGGAGAGGGTCCGTTATTGTCTCTATGGAGGGCACTGCAGATAGAGGTGGTCTGGCGGTGTCGCTACGGAGGGCGCTGCAAGTAGAGATGATCGGGTGACACCATTGTGAAGGGCGCTGCAGATGGAGCTGGTTCGGTGGTGTCGCTACCATGGGTGCTACAGTTAAAGAGGATCGGGCATTGTCGCTATCGTGGGCAATGGTGAAGAGGTCCGGCGGTGTCTCTACCATGGGTTAACATGGTCGGAGTGGTGTTCGATGGTGGCTGCTTTGGTGGGTGGCTGCGGCGCTGAAGATTTATCTTTCTTTTCGAGACCAACAGTTATTGGCAACCGACAGTGAAGCATCGAGCAGAGTTGAGATTGTAGGAAGTTGAGAGCAAGGTTTATGGCTAGGGTTAGCCGGAGGTCGAAGCTGGTGTCGATGTAGCCGAGGGGAAGTATAGAACTTGTAGCTAAACCCCTCAGTGGCTCCAGATCGAGGAAGAAGAAAGGGATCTCTCTAGGGTTAATCAACGTTCTGACACCATGATAAGAATAGAGCTTTTGGGAATAAAAAAGACAAATATTATTCAATATATTAAAGTGCTTAAATGCAATAGGAAGGAGAGAAGTTACGATGTGGGACTAAAATGAAGGAAAATAAGATAGCCCAACTACATTATTTAATAATAAGTTCACTAACAAGAAAGTAGAACAAATGGAACAATTAATGCTTGATTCTTATGCATGACAAGCTATTTATCTTATGGTAATTCATTATAGTATTTTGCAGAGATCAAGTTTTCCTAGTATTACAACTTCAATGAGACCAAATCTTGAACCATCCAAGCGTCAAAGATTTAATGCACTCTGGGTTAAATTTTGATTTCACTCTTGTACCCTGGGAGAAGTTTTGTAGATATTGGCTTAGGGTGAAATTAGTGAGCCTATCTAGAACAATGTTGTGAAAGATTGAGAGAGCAAAATAGAGAGAGGGTATCAATATGAATATGTGCAGCTTACCCTACATAGGCTATTGTATTTATACTCAATGTTGAATTATACAATTACATATGTACCCCTATGTACAATAGAATCTATCATATTCACTATTACTCCTCGCAATCTGGACAGGGGGGATTAAGGGATAGATTGAACTTTAAGAACAGAATGGCTAGGTTAACAATCATTGTAAAAATATCAACAAGTTGAGGTGGGTTGGAACGTAACGAACTACTAAATCACCAAGAGTAACTAGTTCCCAAACAAAGTGATAATCAAGATTTATGTGCTTGTCGTGGTCACGAAGAACGAGATTGGTGGTGATATAAGTTGCACTAATATTTTCATACAATAGGGCAGGATGTCGAAGAACAATACCAAGCTCATCTAAGATATAGCGAATCTAAAGAGTCTTGACAAATGTATATGCAAGGGCTCTGTATTCAGTCTTTGTAGATGATTTGGAAATAGTAGGTTGTTTTTTAGAGTGAAAATGAGATTGGGGCCAAAGAAAATCACATAACTAGAGGTGGATCGTGAGCTATTAGGATAGCTGGCCCGGTCGGCATCAGAATATGCAACAAGGGAAGGACCTTTTGCATTGAGAAGTGATAAATCATGGTATGTTGTGCCCTGTAAGTATCTATATATTCTTTTTATAGTTTGTAAGTGAGTAGTCCGAGGAGCATGCATAAACTAAGAAATAACATGTATAACGAAAGTAATATCTGGTCTTATAATTGTAATATATTATAAAGCACCTATCATACTCATATATTCAGTTGAATTTACTAATAACTCACCATTAGTAAGAAATAATGTAGTCTTAGTTGTGAATGGAGTGCGTACATATTTAAGAGTGTGAAGGTGAAATTTGTGGAGAATGTCATGAACATATTTATGTTGAGACAAGAAGAGGGCGTTGGATGTATGAGCAGCCACACCCAAGAAGTAATGAATGTTATCAAGGTCCTTCATTGAAAATTGAGTAGATAGTAAACGAATAAAGTGATGAATGGGAGAAGAATTTCCTATAAAAACAATGTCATCAACATATAAAAGAAAAATTAGAATATCGAAATCATGTACTAGTTTGGCTGCAATGAAAACCAAAAGAGAGAAGGAAACTGCTAAATCTATAAAACCATGCTCAAGGAGCTTGTTTAAGCCCATAAATAGCCTTGTTGAGTTTGTAAACATGATTTGAAAATTTAGAATGAATAAAGCCTCGAGGTTGTTGCATATACACATCCTCGGTTAGGAAACCATGAAGAAAAGCATTTTTAACATTAAGTTTTCAAATAACCCAACCAAAAGAGATTGCTAAAAAAACACAACATGAATAGTGGTGGGTTTAACAACAGGACTAAAAAGTCTCATGAAAATCAATGTCAGCTTGCTAATGAAAACTATGCGGAACCAACCTAGATTTGTACCTTTTAACATAACTGTCAAAGTTGTATTTTATTTGTAACCCCACTTACAACCAACCGAAAGTTTTCGTTCAGCAAATATGACCAATTTCCACGTGTTATTATTAATAAGTGTATTAAATTCTTCTGCCACGGCTTGTTGCCATTTAGGATCTTTAGAAACTTGTGTGAAACTTGTGTGAAACTTGTGGGTTCAGTATCAGTGAGAGTGGTGTGTAAGGACAAGATATTTTAGTGTTTGATGATTCCTGACTTGAACCAAGTTTGCGTCAAATGTAGATTACTAATGGGAAGCATTAGAGGATGCACCCATAACATCAGCTGTAGGAAAGGAATCACTTGTTGACCAGAGAGGAGAAGGAGTAGATGTATGAGTATTGGATAGGAGGTCTGCTAGTTTGGACATGTGGTCAGAGGTTTGATGAGCAGTAATGTAGTGGTTGCGGTAGCTTCCGAAGCCGGAGACTGAAATGTTGCATTGTTGGTTTTAGGGGTGTAGACCCAAACTTTGGAATAAGCATGCACAACAGGATTTTTTCTAAGTTTGAAAATCAAGCGAAGCAGGTGAACTTTAGTTCAGGTGAAGCAGGCGAACTTCAGTTCAGCCGAACTTCAATTCCGGTGAAGCAGGCGAACTTCACAGTTCAGGTGAACTTCACAGAAAATAGATTCCTATTCTGTTTCATTTTTAGGGTTTACCAATAAATAGGGATGTGACGGTTGTATTTTTCCTGCTGTTGTTTTTTATTTTTAAGAGCGACTTTAGCAGCGATTTTTAGATAAAATCTAGCACTTTGAGATCAGAGATCTTAGAGAAAGAGATAGCCGTTTGCAAGCATTGTAATCTTCATCAATAATCAAATAATTTTTGGTGTGGCTCTCGAGGACATAGGCACATTTGCCGAACCTTGTTAAATCTGGTGTTCTCTCTTCTTTGTTTATTCTTTCCTGCAAGTTTTTTGTTTTGTTGTGATTTCTTGCTTGCTATTCTTTCGACACAAGATCTGGAGGGCACGGGTTGTTGATTTTCCAACACCCAATAACTAGTATCACAAATTCATCTGGAAGATTTGTGTGAGAGATGGCAGAGAAAAACAAATTGAAGATTGAGAAGTTTGACGGATCAGACTTCGCCTACTGAAAGCCACAGATGGAGGACTATCTATACTAGAAGGATCTTTATCATCCGTTGATGGGCAAAGACAACGAAAAGAAGGAGGAATCAGACAAGGACTGGGAAATACTGGATAGAAAGGCTCTAGGGTAGATCCGGTTGTCGCTCGTAAAATCTGTCACACACAATATATTAAAGGAGAAGATGACGGTGGGGCTCATAAAAACTCGCAAAAAGATGTACGAGCAACCGTCAGCCACAAACAATGTGCATCTCATCAAGACACTCTTCAACCTCAAGATGGCAAAAGGATATTCCTTCATGTTACATCTCAGTGAGTTCAACATGATTGTTGATCAACTCATCTCAGTCGACATCACATTCGATGATGAAGCGCAAGTCCTATTGATACATCGCAGTTGCCGGATAGTTGGGCAGGTTACGTGACCGTAATTAGTAACTCGGCAGGAAAGGAGAAGTTGAAGCTGAGCGAGGTTGTTAGTATGATTCTATCCGAGGAGGTTAGAAGAAAATAGTCCGAGTCAGAAGGTTCAGGTATCGATTCTATACTCATAAGAAGCTATCCGGTATCGATTCAATAGAAATTGTGTTTATAAAAACTGTATCTACGGGAAGCAAAAGAGGGTCAACTTTTAGAAGAGTGGAAAACCACCCAAAGCTCACTAGCTAGAGCTTGTTCATACATATGTATGTGGTCCAGCTACCGTGTATTCTCTTGGCGGTCCAACATACTACGTCACCTTT